AAAAAGTTCTACGAATAAGACTTTCAGTGCATGTGTTATAGAGAGTCATAATTTGAAGTATGTTCCACCGGACTCCATTCTTGAAGTATTATATTGAATCTGATTATTACCGTTTTGTTATTTATATCTTTTGAAACTTACATTTAAAATGAGATACTCTTTTTGAAGAACCATAAACGTTCAAACGTTGTAGTTCTATTAAAAAGTACAGAGAATACCTTATCACGCCTCACAAAAATTGTGAATTCAGTTGTCTAAACAGGAGTGATGAAATAAGATAAAATCTGACCTGGATTAACGCGAGAGGTGCTGCGAGAAAGTTCCAATAAACTAACGAGGGAAACGAAAATCTGATAAGAACTCTTCACTGCATAAAGACATACTGATTTTATAATCCACATATATATCAAATCCAATCATCTGTATGTGTTCTGTTACGTTTAATGATTTGTTCATTTGACAAGGCGCCTTTGTCTCACGCAAAATAAGTAGGGACTAAGTTAATACATCTACATCAGGGTTAGGATTAGAAGATCCAGCTAAATACATGTACATAACGTGATTTGATTACTCTACTGACACTCCGATCCAAAACTGAAAGGCATTTATGTCACATGTCAGAGAAAGGTGTCCTGTGTAACAGTTTCGTGGCCTTTAATTCACTAATATCATAAGTATATGTGTATTTTATAGGTAAAAATTGCCTTTTCATGTGGTTGATGCATTTAGGGTCATCCATCCGCCGCTTTATTTCAGTGCTTTAAAGTTTAACTCCTCCCATTACTCAAACTGACATCAGTGTTACCGGACGATCGAGAACAGAAAAAGCTACATTCTGTTACGTATAATTTATACTCCCCTATTTTTCTGTTCTAATATCTAAAATAGAATCTTCCCAATTACAAAAGAAAATAGGAAAATGCCCAGGTCTGTATCACGATTTTGCTTATTTGTAATTCCTCTACATATCTTAAATTTCCACGGAGATGCCTGACTTGAAAGTCAAACAACTAATTAAGTTTTTACAGCATTTAACATAATTAAAATATCTTCTGACTCAATGAACAAAAAATATCGTATTTGTTCTGTTCAAACCATTCATTCAACTAAAACGATATACCTCAGTGATCCTCTTCTTGTATTTAGACATTTTAATTATAAAATATTGAGAATTTTGATGATGAATTCTGATTTACTTTTTTTGTTTTGTTCTTGTCACTATAATGTCTATTTAAAGCCCACATTTTCTCCTCCTTTTGCCAGTCAGATTAAATCTTTCTGTGAAAAACATCTTCCTTAAGGCTCTCTTGCCTCTTTTTTTGTATTCTAGGGAACATTATATAACCAACAGGATGAATTGCCCGTCTATCATATTACAAGACATTTTATTGCGTTTCGAAATACATATATATATTTATATATATATATATGCATGTTTATTTACGTATACATGGTCGCCTTAACAAATGTCAATCTTTAAAACGAGACAGTCTATTACTTAATTGTACTAATGAACGTTTATCACGGTAATAGGAGAAGGTTATTCAAACATTCTAAGCCATTCATTATAATCATAATAATAATAATTACTACAATTATTACCAGCGTTTGTTGAACACTAAATTTCTGATATTCTCTTTTTTCTTCTTTGCTTAAGGCATTCACTAAATTAAACTACCGCTGTGCTCAATAGTAGGTCATGCAGAAAATGACTCCACATATAATTATATTGGAGTATTTGAATAATAGAAAAAAATGGATGAAGAAAACAGTTTAGAGAGGAAAATGCTAAGACAAATGTTTATGTATATACATACGTCTTTAGTAAGGTAATTTTAATCCACCATTTTTTATTTTCACTGAGATAGAAAATTATGGAATGTGAACTTGCGTGATGAAACCTACAAGACAATTTCTGATAATTGAGGAGAAGCTTCTCCTATATGGAGTAGTTTCTCAATATTATTATTATTAGAAATGAAGATACCAAATAAAGATAAGAACTAGTGATATGATTAGGGAAATAATAGACAAGAGTGAATTTTTTCAAAAGAAAAACGAAATACTAGCGATAATCTTTCTCAAACTATCTTACATACTACTCATTGGTAGAATGACAAGCGAAAAATACTACTTTTTGAAAAAAAAACGCTTATCAATCTCATATGTTAGATTGCCTATCCTATAAAATGCTTCTTGATGTGAATTCCTAATTCTGATTGACAAGGAATACCTTTGTGTCTACTTACTAGTAATGCGTGATGCTATATTGTTACTGCTCTGAGTAGTAACTTGTCACTCACATCAACCAGTACTGCTGACTAGACGAAATGAAGTTACTTGAATACAGGACAACTGTTCCAATCGTTTGAGGACGAGCTGATCAGCGATGTTCTCGATTTTAATTCAAGTTGGAGAGCCTAATTAGTTGAAAAACCCCAAATTCTAGCTAGCTAATTGTGAATTTGATTGACCATTAACGCACTTTTGTGAAGGAAACAATTTCATGTAGGCATTCACATAATAACTCTCAAAAGTGATTATATTTGTTTGGTATTACTAATAAAATTCAAAGTCGTGTCTATCTCGGATTACTACTTACCAACTTACGTCGTCTTTGATACTGATGTGATATCCGGCTGTCCATCAAACGACCTGTGTACTACTACGCAACACTCCTCTTTTTTCTGACTTGAAGTTCTATGACTTCTCCACTAAAGATGGAAGATACGAAATTTTGTCGGTTTCAGAACATTCATGTTATTTGGAAATCTCTAGTGCTAGGTATAGAAATGATGTCAGTCACTTTCACAGATCAACCACATCTACAATCGCCTCCGCAGTTACACATGAATTGATATACACAGCTGGAAAAACGACCAGTGTCAGATTCTTTGAAGAGATATCAAATAGTTTGAACTTGTCAATAACTTAACTCCTGGTAGACATGGGATACCGAGTGGACGCGTCGGGAGTATTTAAAAATAATTAACAGACAAAATAGAACAAGTCTTCTTCAGTTTTCTAAAGCTATCGCAATAAAAGAACGGGAACCTGACCTATATTTTTTAAGGAATCCGTAATAAGACTTCAACTATTCTGGTAACTCTCCCATTAGTAACTTTCTTTCCTCTGATTTCATCATTTTGTTTCACTCTTCCTACCTTAAAATGTTTGGCTTCACTTTCACATGAGACTTAAGTCTTGATGCTTTGGATTCAACTTTATTGTATTACATCATTACTTTTTCATTCAACTTCGTACACGCCAAATTTTGATTTTTCAGTCCATGAGCTCTAATCCCTATATTTTACTACTAATGTATGTGTAAAACTTGGGCACTGTGGTAGTAAGTAATTTCATATTAGTTTGTTTATTGGGTATATCACACAGTGGATGACGTTTCGAACAAAAATTTATTGTTCATAATCATGTCAACTATAATCACACAACTTCGAAACTTCAGTTTTATAGCTTTCTTTGTCCTATTCGAGATACCTGGAACAGGTGTTGAATCATTCCTTCGTTGTATACAAGGAAGAAAACCTTCAGCAGAATTCTTAACAAGGGAGGAATAAAAGTGGCTGGCATTCAAAACAACCACAAACTCAATTAGAAACAAGCTTGTCGGTTAAAGCGTCGATCTTGTGGAGCCTTTAAAACAAAACAATTCAGTTTATCTAATACACTGCTGGAATGATTGTCAGGTCAAATACATACGTCAAACTAGTAGAACGGGGCAGTCAGACTAGTTGAACATAAAAACTTAGCAAAATCTAGATTGGTTAACCCAAATAAGATAAAAAATCTAAAGAATAGTTCACCTGTACCACTCACCACATGCAATTACATGCAACCATACAACAGAATGGATGGGATAAGATGACAGTTTTGAAATCTAATGTAATACAGTTGAGGAAGAGAATGATAACAGAAGCTTTATTTACAGAATCAACTGAGGCGAATACAAGTGATTCAACACCCGTCCATCCAGATATCTGGAAAATTCTACTACCCCAACAGCGACAAATAGGAGAGGACATAGAAAACTATGAGACTCAAGTTTCGAAGTTGTGTGATTATAATTGATGATATGATTATGAACTATACATTTTGTTCGAAACGTAACCAGTAAATAATACAGTTTCACTGTGTGATATATCTAATAAATAAACTAATATGGAATTATATTTCACTTCCTCTGGTTGCACATTTATCAGTAACTCATAACTACCTTAACAGCAAAGAACTGTTTACCAGAAACTTAGCTCTTATAAAGTATATGAATATACTAATAACATGAAATAACCGTGTCGTCCTTATATTTTGTTTCTTTATGACTTTTACAAAAATCCTTACTGGAGGACAAGTTCATGATGATAAATAAAACTTATGTTAAGACTGTATTATTAAATATCTTATTAGATATTATAAGTTGTATGCAGCTAATAAAAAATTAATGACATAAAATGGATCCACATTTTTCTGCACCAATGTTTGCTTTACCTATGTTCAAAATAGAACTTATTTTAGCTCCTCCAATGCAATAATGTATACCTGCTGACCAAATATTTGAGTCAACAGTCAGAGGGCTTTGTGTTGAAGTAAAGTGCTTCTGATAAGGAAATCTATAGCACACCATTATGCAAAACATTCTAATTCATTTGTTTAGCTTATGGAGACTACAAGACTAATTATACAAAAATAGTTTATCATTCCCTATGCTCACCTCGTGTGTGTGGAGGTGGATAATTTCTTGAATTTCGACCATTTATTAGGGTATGTTTTGTTTTTTATTTATTTTTTGTAGATCCTGCAGCTCATTTCCATAAATTGCGCAAACAAGTCTTCTGATTTCTTCACTCATTTTAAATGATACAATATGCTTGCATAGTTGACCTTTAACTTCTAATGGCTTTAATGAATATGTCATGTTGCCTGTATGCTGTTGTGCTATAATCTTCGGCTTACTATCTAAAATACTGATATTATTCTCATTAATGTTGTCTATAGTAGAAACATATTCTGTTAAACATGAAATACACTCAGCAGCACACAGTGCATCAACCCTGTTCCCATCATCAGTATCACGTACGCCTAGATCAGCATCTGATGTATATACAGTGATTTTTATGCTTCCAGATGAATTGCCTCAAGATCATTTTATAGGTAACATTCCAAAACAGATCCCGAATTTTCCATTTCTTAATATCCTTGATTCATCAGTTAGTACTACTCTTGTAGATTCAAGTGGATTTTTATTAAAATTATTTCGTGTAACAGATAATGGTGAATTTTATACACAAACATTAATTGATCGAGATAATCCAGATCAATTATGTGGACCATTAAATTGTTGTCATTTAATTGTCTGTAATTTAACAGTGGATGTTTTATTCTTTCATCCTGGTTCAACATCAATTACAGTACATATAAATTTACAAATACATGATGCTAATGATAATGCACCTTATTTCCCCAACAAACATTTTCATTATGGATACCAGAAGACAACAAATTAAATATTCTGAATTAGATGTTCAGCATCTTGACAGACCAACTTATGGATTACCGCTAGCTATCGATATGGATTCATCTCCAAATGGAGTTGTACAATACAGAATACATGGGAGTATCCCAGTTACTTCAACATTCCAAATTTATAGTAATTCAAGTGCAGAGAAATTAGGTCTTTCTATTAAACCAGGTGTTTTTCTTGACTATGATAAATCGAATCAGAGAATTTTTAAATTAACTATTGAAGCAATTGATGGAGGTCATCCTGCACGTACTGGTCGAATGCTTGTACTTGTACATATTACAGATGTAAATGACAATATACCTGTATTTAAAAAATCAAAAGATACCATAACAGTACCTGAAAACACTATGTTTGATGAACCTATATATAAGGTACAGGCTACTGATGACGATTCCGATGATAATGGACTTATTAAGTATTCATTTTCCCCAGCAAATCCTACCACACCAACCTCTGTTATTGAGAAATTTAATTTTCATTCCACAACAGGTGAATTATACCTTCGAGATGTTTTGGATTATGAAACATTTCAAGAAAGGCAAATAGAACTGTTGTTTATTGCTTACGATACTGGAGATCCACCACTTTCAGCTACAGCTCAGTTGACGATTCACGTGAAAGATGTCAGTGATAATCCGCCTCAGTTAATTGTACAACTGAATAATACTATCAAAGAGAACAGTGAACCCGGTCAACTAGCTCTACGTCTTATGATTCGTGATAAAGATGAAGTATCCCGTGACATGATTGAATGTCATGCAGATGTAGACCAGAATGTTCCATTAAGAATGACTGTTTCTCCAGAGAAAACTATGCTGACTGTGATTACAACAATTCAATAGATTATGAAGTAAATCCGCGGCTTCACTATGCAATTACTTGCTTAGATGAAGCTGACCCGAAACAGTTAAGACAGTTCAATTTAACTGTTTCAATTGGTGACATTAATGATAATGCACCGAAATTTAAATCGTCTACATTTGCACCAAAAAATGGACATTATAAAATTTTATTAAGTGAAGCAGAACCACTTAATAAGCTGGTTCTGATAGTGACCGCTGAAGATGCAGATAGTGAAGATAATGGAAGGATTAGTTATAGCCTTATGGAAAATGATTCTAACTCAGAAATATCTTTCAATAATGCTGTTCAGTATTTTAAAATTGACAGTCAAACAGGTAGTGTTTTCTTGATTAAACGATTAGACTATGAACAGAATGATTTACTACGTTTTAAAGTATTAGCCCATGATAATCCTAAACCATCTGATGGTGAACGTTGAGTGCTATCGCTACTGTGATTGTCCAGATACTCGATGTTAATGACAATGGACCAAAACTTATTAGTTCTGATACATTGAGTGTTGTTGAACACGCACCGATTGGTACAGACTTGGGTTTAATTAAATTTACCGATCCTGATACCGGTTCAGGTGGTCAAATTGCACACATTAGCCTTCTTAAAGGATTACCAGTGGAAAATGCAAGCGAAAAATCATCATTACAAAATAAATGTAACCGTAACGATGAAAGCCATAGGTATTTTAAATTGGCAGAGAATGGACACTTATTAACGCTGCAATCGATTGACAGAGAAGAATGTCCAACAATAGTTTTGTACATTCTTGCTATTGATCGAGGCCTATCAAATCCAATGACGAGTACATCTACACTAACTATTCACGTGGTCGACATCAATGATAACAGTCCAGTTATCGTAAAACCAATATTAGGTCAGACAATAATATACCAACCGATTAAATTACAAAATTGGGATACGATAACATTTTATCAAATTGACACTAAACAGGATAAAATAATAAATCGTAAACCACTGAATAATACATATTTGAAACAAAATATAAATGACAAGATGCTAAGGAAGTATATCTATTCACGAATTGCATTTCATATACAAGCAAATGATTTAGATATCGGTGAAAATGGACGTATTACTTATACGCAAAACAACAGTTGCAATGGTTCAAAATATTTTCATTTAGATGAAAATACTGGAGAGTTTCGTGCAAGATTTATTGATTATCAAAGTTATCAAATCCTAAATCGATCGAATCAGACTCTAGACGTGGAATTTATCTTCTATGTGTCCAATTAACAGATAATGGTAAACCACCGCTACAAACAACTGCATGGTTTTTTGTTAAAGTCACTGATCCAGTGATACCGCCCACTGTACATAATATTGGCCAGCTGATTCAGCTAATGACATTGACTTCTCACAAAAGATGTTGTTTTCAAATTTTTATAATTCTACACACAATCAATGGTCATCTGATATGCTAGACACGTTGAATGCTGGTTCAGTCCGGTTACCGACTGATATCAATATCAGTAATATGGTGATTTCGCTATTGTTGGCAATTTTTGCTATTACAATCATTTGTACATTAACTGCATCAATATTATGGGCACGATCTAAGCGAAGATCTAAACGTTTAAATCAAAGAAAGGATAAGCTTCAATGTGAGGATAAAAATCATATTAATATGAAAGAATCTAATGAGCATCACTCACACGAGTGTGGATTACTTGATGCAAATACAAAACTAACCTGTGATAGTAAGAAGACAAAACTGACTCGAGAGCGTAACAAACGCAACAGTAAGCGATTCAAACATTACACTAATCAAAATAGTATAAATGGTCATAATAATGACAAAAATACTTATTATGGTAGCTCTAGCAGTATGCATAGTAGTAAGAATTCTAACAATATTAAGTGTAACTTTAACCATAATAGTCCTGTTAGAAATTTAACCACTGATTTACATAGTGTAAGTAGTTCAAATATCAGTTGTGACACTTTACATAGAAGTACTGAAACGAATGCAAATATTGACAAATCACCTAGACTTTATACATCACTTAGACAGAAGTGTACAACACATGAGAGAACTACACCTATGAAACACTTTTCAAGAACTTTATTTCCTCGAAATAAACCAACCACCAGTAGTGTAGATAATAATTATGTTGCATTAAACAAGCTTTCCAATCCTGTATTACAAAGTGAACAACACCAACAACAACACCAACAACAACAACAGCAACAGTATTTATTACAAGAGCATAAACGGATAAGAGAAGAAGATAAAGGACCTGCTGAATCAGAATCCTCTTATCTGTTACCCTGTGATCTTCTATCAGTTTGTAACAAACATAATCATAATGAAAGCAATACAGGCATTTATAACAGTAACACCGGTGCTAATTTAGTTAACAGTCCATTAGATATTACACAGCCATCAAGTACACAAATACAATACTTAGAACACAATATCAGTCAGCATCATCTTCATTATCGACAACAATCAAATTCACAGCAACAGTATGCAGCACATTTGTTAACTATTGATCCTACTACATCAATGTGCTTAACAAAACCAAAAAATTTGGAATATTCAACTCATCCGTTATCGGAAGGCTTAATCACATGCTGTTCAACTATTCCGGTAAGTAGTGTTACACGCTTTAAAGCACTTCATTGTTTTAATAATATAACTGTGACTTACTTTTAAGCGCGTTTTCAAAAAATTTTTCAAACACCGTTTTAAGAAATTTATGCCGCCGATTTGAAATATGTATATCTTAATAAATGATGTGAGTAAAAGCTTCGGAAAATAATTTGAATGATTAGAATAACATCTGTCGAGGGACAATTATTTGACGAGTCCGTCCTGAGCGACCTAACAAGAATTCTCATACTCACTAAGATATTTCAGCTAATTTTGTAATTATTATTCCCTTTCCTCCTAGGTTATACATACTGTTCAGACATGTGCGCATCACCTGGAAACTTAATCCTCATTATTTTTCTTTGCGTGATTATTAATTTAAACGCCTATCTCTGAGGTTGTTTGATAGTATTGATCATGTGTTGGTTTTGTTTGAATAAAGTCAAGGTTTTCCGTGGAGAATTTGACCTTAGACTGTCTGTGGGAATTGCTTAGTGTGCGATTCTTGCTGAAAGGGTTTTGATCCTGCCTTAGTGAAAAGATTCTACTCTAATCTTAGTTGCTTCTTATGGTTGATTTTGGTTAACGGATTTTGTTGTATAGTACTTATTTTTCATTTGAGAAACTACTAGATCTGTACAGCTGCCTAACGGCATTGTTGAGGTAATTTTGAGTTTTGATGTGTTACTATTGTTAAATAGTACTGCAGATTCATCACGAATAACGGCCGTTTAACTATTTTTGGGACATTTTCTGACTCTGCGTAACTAAAGGAAAACGCAACGATTGGTTTTCTGTTTTGAAATTACAACAGATCATTTTGGTCATTACAGTGTTATTTGTTTTGCAATGTAAAATAGTATGTTAGAGTGTTATCTCACTAAAGGGATAACTAGGGGATCATGGTTAAAATGTTTACATTCTCCACAACTTCTGAGACTGAAAAAGGAGATAAGTTCATTTTCACGGCATGCATTTGTCTATATTTATTTATCCAACAGAATCATAATTAGAGCGGCCGAAATGACATTTCCAGATTAAATAATATATAGCTAGAATACAAAATGAAATGTTGTTTGAAGAAAATGTGGTTTTACATGTTATGCAAACATTTGTGAATGTATATAGATATATATACATAAGTGAATTCATTAACGTCCGGAAATATTACTTTTCATGTTTCTCTCCCACTCAGCCTAGGCTAAACTACCTTATTAAGCTTATTTAGTCTAGCATTATGTTATATTGAATACATGACATATCAGGTAAACTAAATTTTGTAGTCAGATGGTTAGGGGCAAACTGTAGAAAGCTTTGGATCCAGGTTTCCCGCTTTCTAGCGTTCACCAGTCAGCTAGGTGCATCTTAAGCCTTGAAGAAACTCATGTCAAGTTTGCAATGTGGCTACCATACTGGGCAGCTCGACAGTATGATGTACTCTAATGGCCTTCATCTATCTAACAACAACAATTAGCAGTTCATTGAGCTACCTAACATGCTAGTGACGTTGGAAACTGGGATGACAGAATTCAGTCTTAGCGAAACAAAGAACCAAAAGCACAACATTAGTTAGTAGCTGATGTCCAACCGAAGTGAACTGGAATTTATCTATGCATAATCTTGGAGTAATTTTTATTGCGTTAAAATCTTTTTTTCAAGATTTATTCAACGTTTACCACTGGGATGAATCAAAAGTTGAGACTATAAATAGACACGTATGTACATAAAAAAAGTAAGAAATCTCCTGTCTGAGCTTAAGATTATTACTGAATAAGTATACAGAGATACCAAGGAGTACTAAGTAGATATCATTTCCAACACTGAGCTGTTGGGTTAATATGACACCCATTAGTTGTTCTCAAATGTTTATCTGAGGGTTTTAGTGAATCGGCAAGAAAATTACTTTACGTCGCTTCTTTTTCTTTTCTGTTTCATTTTTTATTCATGATGTCTGCTTGATATAAACTATTTAAAAATCAAAGATTTACTTCCAAACCAAGAGAAAAGATAAACTATATTTTAATACAAAATATCATTCAAACTGTCATCTTTAACTGATTAAAATTGCGATTACTGAGACTTGAATGACTTATATTTATCTTGTCGTTCGCTTTTATTTGATGGTGGATCGATATGAGTTAGAGGCACATTGAAAACCAAGGATTAATGGACATATGATTCGTCCCAGTATGGGGCCTCTCAGCAGTACTCACTCATCATACCACTGGAGATCATATTTACTATCTTCAGGTTGTCAGGTAAACTCGTTGACTATTCAAATACTTGAACAGAATCCAACAGCCCATGAATTTTAAACTCAGTCAATTAACTATTTTTAAGCACTACTGCTAGCTGATATCGTCTTTGAGTATCTGTCTTCCTACTCGATCTAGTGGAATTCACTGGTGACGACTTCAAGTTCTCCCTAATCTCCAGTAGTTTTCTGACTGATGTCTTTCATGATCAAACTAAAAACCAATTGAATATCTCTCAAACTAACACTTGAGAATATAACTGTTATTATTACTGGTGACGTTAATTGAAACCCTGCTGCTACATATTTATCTACCCTAAACTACAATAGCTGATGGTGTCAATGGGGTATGTATAACGATATTGACAGAGTTTATTCTTGATATTCAACAGAAACACGTTGACCACCTTTTTTTCTCCTTTACTCGGAATTCTCTTTATTATCATTTGAATTAAAGCATAAAAGGCAAGATTCATAAACCAAAGTGAGCACCACACACTCTATTGTTCATACTCATGTAAAAATAGCTCAACAGAAGCATAATCAGTATATATTCAAAATTTTCTTACACTTTATAATACAAACAATAGAATAAAACACTAATAGACTGTAGAAAACCTTCAAATCCAGGGACTAACTTCGTCAGGTATAACTTTACCGTATTCCACTTCTCTTTGTATGTCAGTAGACTGCGTACTCTGATTCTGCTTGTTTGAGGCCAAGCAAAATACGCAATAAAGTAATACATAAGTGGGATAAGAGAGATTTTTGGATGAAAAATGATCCTCATGGTAAATAAACTGTTGCCACCCAAATATCATTTAGTTTTTCTAATGATCCCCTAGTAAGACAAACTTAATTGTTTTTAGGTTGTTATTGTTTATTCACACTTAAAAAAGTCACCATTCACCCTACTTTATTTTCTATTTACTAAGAGTACTAAGCTTAATAAACTTATTAATATGTCAATCAAATTAATATTTATGTAAGAAGCTTCTATCACTTTACCTCTTATCTAAACAGAGGAGTTATCGTTTCAAGACATAGAAACACATTTTGGAGGCAAACAATTCACATAACTTCAAGTGCTGGTTTGCAGGGATTTGATTGGTTTCGAGATTTCATCGTCAGCCGACAATGGTTAGAGGACCATTGGAAAGCCTAGAGTACTGGATAGCTTTTTAGCCCTAGTTTGAGACTCCTCATCAGCAATCACCCACTGGGCCTCAAACCACGAACCTTTGGTTACAGGCTGAGCTCATAAGCTATTAATCCACTGGAACCCCGTCCACTGGTCCATGAATTTTAACTTCTGCCAACTCATGGTATTCGAGTAGGTGATTACCTGGGTCTTTTTGGAAAATAATGACAAATAGGGAACAGGAGGTTTGGTGTGAGGACAAATACTCTCCGAAGACATTGGCTAGTGGTCACGCCATATCATGAATTGGTAGAAGTTAGAATCCATGGAAGATTGGATCGGGTCTCAGTGCCTTAATGGTCTACGAGCTCGCTGGCCTTGTAACCAGAAGGTCTTCAGTTCAAACCCCGGTGGGTGTGAACTGATGGGGAGTCCCAAACTAGGACAAAATAGCTATCCAGTACTTCCAGGTTTTTCACATGTCCTCTAACCGATTTTTAGTTCATGATGAAATCCTAAAACTTAAATAACTATCTATCTATTTCATTAACCTACAGTAATTCTTAAGTACGAATAAACCGTCTAGTTATTTCCATTCTTTGCGTTTTGATTGGAACGTAAGTCTTCATACTTAGGTTCGAAGTTTAGGTAGCCGATTACATTGCTTTGCAATATTCATACCCAAACAAGTAAGACCCTATTTTCTGATTTTACTAATTAAGGTTAGAGAATGCACTGGTCGGAAATCTAACCTTGATCATACGTTTGGCTAGTGAGCATTCTACCGGCAGCCAATTACATGGTTATTTATATTGCGACAGGTCGATGTGTGACTGTACACAGTGACAATGCAGACATAGTCAGTGAATAAACACTACGTCGCTGAATTAATACAGTCAAAAACAGTATCCTAACCACTAGAATCCAACAACTACAAACTGTTTAATGCTTATTACTGATTATTATCTCATTGAATCCCACTTGAAATAGCTTTATTCATATGATTAAATTCCAATAAAAATGCTGCATGAATCACATTTACCCTATCATATCTTCCTATTTTTTTCCAAAGTATACAAAACAGTACCATAAATTGCATTATTTCTATATTCTTTAAACAAGAAACTTTACACCTTTTTATGGCTTAAAACCACATTAATGAAGTCACTAGGATTTTGTGCTGAAGGCAGTTTTTCACGCCTTCTATGAATATAATCTCTTATTTCACTTTAAAATCTGCTTTTTTTAAAACGGTCATCATTTTCAAACTTCTTATCGGTCACATATGAAATAAATTTCTCACATTAAAGTAATTAATGTGAAATTAATTATGCAAAACTAGTAAGGAAAATGGTTTTCCATGCCAATAGACCTCTACAAAGTCATTATCTGCCTGTCCTTCAGCATTTAATTTTTCCACATATGCTAGGGACTGATACAGCATTAATTTTGCTGCATATATTGTAAGTTCGTTTGGAGAACGAAGACTCTGTATGTAACTAATCCCCATCTAATTACATTTCTTTTTAAGATAGTATTGCTGTATCATCTGCTACATAATTGTCTCCAGTGTATCTAGGTTACTTATTCCAGAGCTAGCTG